ATTTTTTTGCGTTAGCAAACCATAAAGGGGGTAGCCCCTGTGAGCTAGAGATCGGTATGAGCATCTAGACAGTGCAATTAGCATGCTGCCTGTGGATTTAGTTTTGGTCCAAGTATTCTTCAGAGACAGCAACGATCGAGATAGCAATCGAACCCATCTCAATTTCCAGCTCCGCGTCGTGGCTCAAGAGACAGAACTGCATGCAAATCTTGTTACCGATAAGCCAGTATACTTATGGGATTTTTATATTTGTTTGTGAGTGGTCGCACAATGAATGCTGAGGTTCGTGGTTCTATTTAAGGACTTGAAGTCATTCGGGCCACCTGAGGTCGCTTCGTAGGCAGGATGCTACTGAATTTATTGCATTTCTTAGTTTAAAATTATTTTTTATCTGAAGGTCCGGCACACACAGAGTTGCACGTTGTAAACTGCTCAATTTATAGGTATGCAGGAGCGTAATTTTGGTCACTTATACATATCACTTATATTATGGAACTTCTTTGTGACACTGTGTGTTTAGTTTAACCGAAAATGTTTCTAAATTTAAAAGAGTTTCGACATAGACATTATTTTTTTCATTTTATCAGTTTTCGGCGTACAATTCATTTTTGTGCGATAATGAAAACAAACCAAATGAAAAGCACCATTATATTTCTCTGTTCGTTACCATGAGTTTCTCAATTAACTATATTTGGGTCCGATATACATATAACAATTTTCCCACTATTAATTTCTAATACTATACTAGTAAAAGAAAATTATTCGTTCGAGAACCTTACCTTACCTTATTAGAATTAGCAGTATTTAGTAATAAGTAAATATTGGTATTTTTTATCTGTTTCTTCTGATTTACGTATAAATTGCAGCGAAATATATACTTTTTCATGTTTCCTGTAATTTTTGTCATGTGTCAGGAAATGAGTTTTATTATTGATATTTTTCCAGGTGTCAGGTTAAAAAATAGTTGTTCTCCTTGTTTTCCTTTCAGGTTTCAAGCGATATATATTTTGTTATACTTGTTTTCTTTACTTCTGTAAAATAAACTTCTCGGTCAGACCATGATTACAATATAACAGAAATAATACCATCATCGCTGTTTTCTTTTCTACGATCCCAGCGTTGTTCTTCTGACGTCGTAGTTATTTTCCGTTGTTGTGAGTTATTTTCTCATAATAACATAAGAGTTATATTCGCTAGTTTTCTCTTATTTTATAAATTATTGAATAAGTTGATATCTCGTTTAGCTTAAACCTAGAAGCTGTGTGTCCATTGTTGCTACATGCCGGGCAGCCAAACACTTAGTAACCACATGCCTGATTGCCGCATGCACTTTAGTTATATTGTCATATTACTATGCAATAGTGTCATTTCTTTATTTTGATTCTTTTAATTCTTTATTTTTATTACTAATTCAATCTATTGATATTCAGAAATTATGTTAATATTATAGGTATGTTTATTTGCAGCATTGCTTTAGATTTTTATTTTAGCGATACTCTGTCCACTACCCACATTAATTATTAATATTAAAATTTTATTTTACTATCTCATCCATGTTTATTATGATTACTCAAATTAGACTTTCCCACGCTTTTTCTAGCTTCATTTCCAATGATTTATTTACGATCCCCTCAATAATTAAATTCATTTGAAAAAATGTTGAATTACGTGTTAGAAATTCTAAATTTTTCCCAACTAAACTTTGAAACTAGACTGACATATTCCCGAATGCTAACTGTAACGCCTTCCTCAAAGGACGCTACGCCTAGAACGATTCAGCACTAGTTTACACCTCCTGGCGTACTGAGCTCTAGGCTTAAAAGGAGGTTCAATAATTTTGTACTAAATCAGTTTCTTCGTTTAATATTGAAGGAACTAACAGTTGCAATTATTGAATATATCTGAAAAAACACGAAAAATGAATACATAATACAAACTTTAGCACGGTTATGATAAATGTAAGAGAATCTCAAAAATGCACCAGAAAATACACAAAAAGCTTATGAACTAGGAACACTGAACAGGTAAAGCGACCCTGGTCGCGGAAAGAGTAAAAGTGGCCGGCGGAGATATGTGTCCGTAAATTGCTTACTCTAACAAGTGTTGCCACATGGGCATTTCGCACTACATAATCGCTAAATTAATGAGCTGCGGCTACACTAACTGAATTTAAACTTTAACATTATTTCTACTATTCTTTCAATTCATTAAGCACTTGTAATTCGTATGATGTAATCAAACGTTAAATAATTTATCTTAAGCACAAATTCAAGAAAAGAAAAACAAATTAAATTCTGAAAATTTGGCACCAGAAATTATAAATCTTATTTCAAATGGCTCGTAAGATATAAGTGAGTCCCAGAAAAGTTAAACGCATTCCATGACAAAAGCATATGTAAACGTAATCTTCCTCATGGTTGCTCGAATATTTATCCATGTTCTTGCTAACGACATCCACAGGCATTTACGACCATATCTGAGAACTTTTTGAGAATAATCCGTCTATCCTCGTCATAATGTAGCACAGTGAGGGAAGTGTACGACGTGGGCACGCAGTATGGCAGAGATACGTTGTGTGGTGAAGATACGTCGTTCTCTCCGAGGTTATGGATGAGGCTTCGCAGTATTGCGTGGTTTGAGGGATTAACGTCTTGGGTCAGAGGGAAAGAACAGCTTCCTGAGCAGAAGTAAGCATCAAATGATGTAGGCGCAATAATCCACGACCAGCCGAGGCGTGCGAAGTCAACGCGCAGCGGCTCTCTGCTGCAGGCACTCGAGTTCTGTTGGTCGTCGACCAGAGATCGCTTGCTTCGTGGCAATGAACGTCCTGTTCGCGGTGAGAAAAAACATGTTAGGATGAATCCTTTCGCATATGAGCTTCCAAGTTATAACAAGAAAAAACATGTTAAGATGAATCCTTTCGCATATGAGCTTCCAAGTTATAACAAGANTTAAGATGAATTCTTTCGCATATGAGCTTCCGAGTTATAACAAGAAAAAACATGTTAAGATGAATCCTTTCGCATATGAGCTTCCAATTTACAACAAAAAAAAAATTCAAGATGAGTCCCTAATTCGCATATAAGCTTCAGGATTACAAAATATATGTTATGATGAATCCGTTTCACATGAAGTTCCTATTTACAACCAGAAGAACGTGTTAATATGATTCATTTGTACAAAATTGGTGGTGGGTGTCTTTATTTATTAGGAGTAATTTCTTTACCCTAATTTCCACGAGTAGTCAATATACATATACCTTGGTACATCAACTATAACGCATTATTATAAATTTATCGTTGAAATGCTAAGCATTCAGTCGCTGAATAATAATTAAATCTATATTAATTAAATAATTCATGAATTTTTTAAGTTAAATTAACGAATAGATCGATTCATCCAATAAGTAATCGTTTGAGATTGTTTGAAAACTTAAATTATATACTTTAATCTATTTTTCGTTTCTTTTCGTTTGGCGGGACTGTAGAGAAAACTATTACCTTATGAAGGTATTATTCAAATTAATTCTTGCACTATTTCAATTATGTTACGCTCTCATTGTCCTGTATTATACGGGGTAATACAGGAATACTTTTCTTAAAGAAATTATGATAAAGCTGATACAAGAGTATTTCATTAATTAGAATTATTATTTCCTTATTGGTTAACGTTTAGCTTACTGCTGATAAATGTTATTGCAAATTAAAGGTTTGGCTAAACATTATCAATATTTATTGTTTAAAGATTTATGTATTGTTCTTAATTTGAAGATGGCCCAGTGGTTACAATTCAGAGTACCAAGATTGGCGCAGAGAGGCGCGGGTTCGAACCCAGCTCTGTGCGCCAGTTTCTGGTCAGAATCGGCGAGGAGGCCGGGCGGTTAAGCACAGCAGAATTGTAGCAGTGAGTTGCGAGTTCGAGACCTCAAAATGCTGTGAATGTTCTGCGATGTTAAGAATCGGTGATAGGCCTACGGCCTACTAAACGCTGAAACCGTTATTATTCATATTTTATATTAAGATAATTTTCTCTGAACAGAATGCCCGAGTACCGTCTCGTTGCAGGTCGTTTAGTTGACTTGGAGCCTCCGGCCCCCCAGCGCGCGTCTTCGAGAACACGAGCAGCAACGATCCTTGGGGGTGAGACTTGAAATGGATGCTGCCTCCGTCCTGTTGGAATATTCATAATAAATGGCATTTATTTTGTAATTTAGAGCCGGTCTCTATGTGACCGTGCAGCCGTACCATCAAAACTCGCGTAAGTACAAGCAACGAACTAAGCAAACTAGTGTACTAAGTACGTGTAGCAGCCTAAGTACACGTAGCAGCCTAAGTACACGTTTCAGCCTAAGTACACGTAGCAGCCTAAGTACACGTTTCAGCCTAAGTACACGTAGCAGCCTCACAGATAACAATCCGTATTACATGTAACACAGATAACACTCCATATTACTTGTAACATAGATAACACTCCGTATAACATGTAACACAGATAACACTCCGTATCACATGTAACACAGATAATACTCCATATTACTTGTAACATATATTACACTACGTATTACATTTAACAACTATAACACTAGGGATCGCATCACTAACATGTAACAAAGATAACACTCCGTCACCCGACCATTACTGATATCTACAGATACGTTAACAGTCGCTAAAATTATCCGTACACGAATGCACGATAACGAGAGTTACAGTCAGCTGGATGTTATTGTACCATCTGTCAGAACTGCGGGCTGAATCACATCTACTCTACCCAACGATGCTATAGTTACACGCCCAACATGCATCCGACTTTGAATTAACGTTCATTAAGCGTTATTTCAACGCTATGTCAAGCTGATTAAGCGCTATTTCAACGTTATTAAACGTCGATTTAGCGTTATTTCAACGCCACTTGAAGCTGATTAAGCGCTATTTCAACGTTATTTAACGTCGATTTAGCGTTATTTCAACGGAATTTTCCTGCAAAGACAAAATATCCTCACTTGAACACGCAGCGGCCCCCCGCGTCCAGGGCATCGCACTCGCCGCTACACCGACCGACGTCTACCACCTGGGCGGGTGAAAAAAAGTTATTCATTTGGAGGGTCTTACATTATTTAATGTAACTTTCTTTATCAAAAATACTTAACTTTTGTAGCATAACTTGCCATTTCGAGAATATTAAATTTCTGATTCATACGTTGCTATTCTGTATAAGCCCTGATATGCCCTTTTGTTTGTGCAAAATGTGTCAGGAAGATCTACACAAGGGCAAAAAGTGCACCGATACTTGGAAAAAAGTGTCCTCATCTGATGTGTCTGTAATGATAATGAACTCATTACGTTTTGTAACCTTTTCCACAATTTTAAATGCTGTTTTTTCAATAAATCAGCACTAAACTTCACCTCGATTCTACCGTCAGCGCTGAAGTTTGCTTCAGGGTCGGTGGAGGTGAAGTTGTAAATGTGCTGCAGATGAGCGATCCTAAAGCAGGAGCCCACGCAGCTGCACTGCTCAATCACCGACACGCATTCCGAACCTGTTTACGATTTGTATTAATTGATTTTATAATTGTAATAAATTAACACTGTGAATAGTCTGCCGCTGCCGAAACACCGAAAACTATCAAAAAGGTGTCCTAACTATTTACTTCTTTGGAAAATTTGGTGCTACTAATTATTTGCTCTTTAAAAATGCTGTATAGACAATACATCGTTTTTAAAATGTATGATCTTTTTCGACCGTTTATGATTGTCCTTTCACTAAATATGAATTTGAAATTTAAAGCTGCAGCCACCAATAACTTAATCTTTCAAATATTTCTCAAATGAACAACCAATTCCTTCATTGAAATTGAATATTCGATAATAAATAACTCAACCCATCAGTTTTCACTAACATTAACTTCTAATAATCACGATTCGATCAGAGTGTTCGAAGGCTGCTCTTAAGTTATCTTATAATATAATTTGGTGCGGCCATATGACCTTTTCGTGTAATTGCTCTCTCAAAATTTCCTTTATAAAACTAGGGTATTTTTTCTAATCTCAACTTACTCCTAAATTAGATTACACCTGCGGTATCAAGTTAGTTCATACTTATACCTTATCCCTAGTATTTAGTCTTTAATAATGTTTCTCCTGGTATCAAGTTAGTTCATACTTATATCTTATCCCTAGTATTTAGTCTTTAATAATGTTTCTCCTGGTATCAAGTTAGTTCATAGTTATATGTTATTCCTAGTATTTAGTATTTAATAATGCTTCTCCTCGTATCAAGTTACACTTAAATTAAGTTACCCCTGATATTAAAATAGTCTTTAATTCCTAGAAGTATGCGTTGCATGTTCATACCACCGTGATGTACCGACACAAAACCTGCTATGTTTGTCAGTGATACCACCTGCCTGGATATTTTTTGTCTCCTCTCTCCTATTTATCGAAAATGAAAAAAATTTTATGGGTTTACCATTCGGTCCTTCGATAGCCGTCGTCCTCATGTGGGTTGCCCGACAGTCTTTTCCTGTCCAGTAAAAATGCAAAATAATTAATTACTTTTATTTACTTAAAGTAAATGTATTTGCCTACTCATTTTTGCTCCGTTATTTTCAATTTGTGTTTAAATTACGATAAGTTGCATTTAGAGTACTGCAGGATTTGAAGCAACGAATTAATTAAAAAATAAAATAAAGTCGTTCAAATCATCGTGTTGAACCTGTGCTCATTGAAGGCATGTCCAGTAATGGCGAAAGCAAACTAGTAATGATAGAACACAATGAAAAGTTATACAAATAACATACTTTGAAAAATGTATGAAAAACGTAGATGCCAATGCTAGTGCAATAGTGAATGAATTGCACGGTCAGACTGTTACATCAGATGTGAAGCGGATGTTAAATTAAGGTTGCATTCTAATCATTATATTATATAATATAAATAGTATCTTTCTGGTGTGTAATGATCTATGCGCATATCTTGTATCAGGTGCTATATAGATGCACACTCGAAATAGACGTGAGACGCCCGGCTCCTGAAATTATTCGCTAGATACTCTTTTTAATTAATTTCAAGTTGCCCTCAAAAATATATATTCGCTAGATGTCCCTTTTAATTAATTTTGAGACGCCCACTCAAAAAATGTATTCGCTAAATGCTCCTTTTAAATAATTGATAGATGCCCTCGCGAATTATTTGCAATACGCCCCCACGAATTATTCATTGCAATGGACTGAGGCTAATAGAGTTCATCCTCCGCTCTCGTGATCACGAGTCTGAGCTCGCTTAGCGAGACTTTATCTAATCGATATTTTGCTCCCCAGTAAAGCTAGGAATGACTTCATCACTATTAATGTTTAAACGAGGTATTATTTATGACCATATAACCTAAACATGTAGCGTGTATATTTTTACTAGTGTTCTATTTACCATCGAGGGAGCAAGGACCAGCACACTCGCCAACGTCAACAGACGTCTGCAACGGAAACCCCTCGTGAAAACGCACCCATTTCGGTCGCCTGCAAGGTAGTAATTAAAGAATAAAATGCACCCATTTCGGTCGCCTGCAAGGTTAAAAAGAATTAAAAAGAATTAAAGAATATTAAAGAGTAAATTGCTCCCATTTTTTTGTCGCCTGCAGCTTTAAATGTAATGAATAAAACGTATCCGCTCCGGTCTCCTGCAGGGTAGAAAGTACTCAATAAATAGCACCCATTTTGGTTGCCCAAGTTCGCACTCGCTCATCGTAAAATTTTCTTATCTCGCTAAAATGTTGATTGATTCGCTTTCTTCATTGATTGCGGCGTTTTTAAAAATTCCTTTCAAAATTATTCATTTTAGAACTTTGACATAAATTTGAATAATCATACACACTATTAACCTGAATTGACTGCATATATTTATAACCAGATAATAGAATATCTGTGTTATAAAAGGTCGGATTAGTGATAGTTACAGGTGCAGTCATAGTTACAGGTAAAAAGCCCTGACCACACAACGCCTAGGGAAATGACTTTTTTCTTGTCCCAATAGCAACAAACTTTTGTCCTTGTAAGCTAGGGTTCGGCCTGGCTAAAGAACGTATCTGTCCGCTCTCAGCTCAAGCTGTTGGTTTAAAAGTCTGTCACTGTTTGGCCAATACAACCCATTCATTTTTGTGAGAGAAATTCTGACCTGAAGCAAGCCTGCTGACGAGGTTCGCAGGCGCACGTCTCGGTGACGGTAGCGTTGACGTTGCCTTCGTCAGTGTCGTGAGTCACCAAACTTGTGACGCTCGCGAAGCATTCGTCGTCCGCGCCGCAGGACGAGTCGCTGGCGAGAGACCGTCGCCGCTCCGCTTTGAGTGCCTTCGGGGCGACCGACGAGAAATAAAACGTTGGAATATCTTTAATTAAACGCTGCTTCAAAGAAATCAAGACGTAATCGACGTTGTTTTAATAAAATCAAGACGTAATCAACGTTGCTTTCAAAGAAATCAGGACGGAATCAACGTTGTTTTCAAAGATATAAGACGGAATCAACGTTGCTTTCAAAGAAATCAGGACGGAATCAACGTTGTTTTCAAAGAAATCAGAAGATAATCAACGTTGCTTTAACGTCACTTCGTCATTTACCAGGAAGCGAGTTAATATATACAAGTGCTTCTACACGAGTATAGTGGCAGCCACTACATATATCAAACGGCAATCACCACTATTTACCGTGTTATTAAGCTATCGTATAATTTTACTGGCCACAGAAGAACCTATAATAACACTCTACACGAGGCCAATAACATATGATATAGTAATTAGTAAACAAGTAATTAAACATAACATATGATATAGTTAAGTAATTAGTATAGTAATCAGTTAACATATGAATTTGTGTACTGATCGCCACTACGTTTCCCGTTCATAAGTTTTTATGTAACCAAATAAATTATGTTCAATGAATACAACAATATTTTCCTATATTTCATTTCATTTCATTTAATCATGTGTTTAAATTAGAAGTTATGTTCCTTCTGGTCTAAGCTAGTATTAAAAAAGAAAGGAATGTTTCTATCTTTCATTTTAACGTGGTTTTAAAAGAAATTTATTGCATTATTCTTGCCTTGCCTTGAAAAAGGAAGTTTATTGCCTTTATTTGCAATGAATATCATGCGTAACAGTGGTCCAGTTTTGTAGTTAAAATTAAGTTTTAACGTAGCCACTTGAATATAATACAGATATTTTTAATTGATAACTAACTGATAGTGAGGTTTCTATCCTCATATTATTCATAAGCCACGTTATGCAGTGCAAAATGCGTTCTCATATCATAAATCTCATATCATAATAGCTTTTTATCAATCTCAATGACATAAGTTTAAAAACACAAAAACTGCTAAATTAGTTCAGCATTAAACCGTAAGTTGTTCTCTGCAACAATACAATCGCGTACAAAAAATAGCAAATTTTTTCATTCATAAAATTCCAGAGAATGCGAACTGACGCGGGGACTCACTTATAAACTTGAATTGTCATCAAATAAAAATATTATAACCTGTTAGATTTATGAAGGCACTTATAAATATCAACAATCATCACTCAACTCAATCCCAAATTCTGGGCTAACGCATCACACGGCAATAATTAAGATCCATGAATCCAATAGCCGCAACATTAATATTACTTTGTTTTGTTCACATTATAATTCATAATAATATTATTCGTTTTATTTTAACATTATAGGAAGAATTTGGTTTAGTAATCATTATAAATCTTAACGAACTTATATGGCGCTGTTGCGGGAGAGGTGAAACATACTTTGCTACCCCAACGGTATAGTAGAATTATTAATGCAATTTGGAAATAAAATTAGCAAATGTTGATAAAATCAGAGCTATAAATGTTCATTCAGAGAAGCTTGAAAAATGCTCTCAACCGCGAGTTTCAAAACCCATATCCCGACAGCTTAAACTACACTAGTTTTGACCACCAATTTAATCAGTTATCACTTACTTCTGTATATATGCAGATAATTATAAAGCACTTAGTTCTAAAATATTCTTCTTTTAGCATCATCAATTGGAATTTTATTATATAATAATAAATAAAGCTTAATTTCTTCTCAACTACCATACAACAACTGGATTTGGTCCTCTCTTTCGTTAACAAAGCTACAGAATAAAATACCAGTATATCAAACCAAAAGAATCGTTTTACAGCGAGTTTTAATTAACTTCTAACGTGATTCAACAATTGAATTATCTTTTTTTAAGATAATAACGATGTTGTTAAAGTGACCGTCATTGAATTAGTTTAGTGGAGTAAGTTTGATATACAAGTGGCGAAACGCGAATGATATAATATCCGGATTTTCATCCATTTAGTTTATCCTAAATTATTGCTATCGTGCAAGAAGAAAACATAGTTGTATACTCGTTTCATTCTTACATATATTGCCCCATATAGCCTCCTTTGTTTCAAATGCACAACATTTGGTCAATATATAGTCACTAAAACTAAAAATAATTGACATCAATTTACAAACATCCTATTTCCGTAGAACACATGCGAATGTTCGTATTTTTGTGGACGAGAAGAAGATTTTACGCTTAAAAAGCATTTTGCGTCAACCGGGTCGTTTACCTATGAATTTTTCCGCTATTAATCAGTTTGAGGATTCAATTATGTCAAAAATCGTCTATCTCAAAGATTGGTTAAAGTTGTTTAACATTTTTGTTTGTTATATGCTGTCGTCGACACGAATGTGTATGTTTTATACCCTGATTGAAATACAGGGTTAAACGGATCATATTATTGCAAACGGACAAGGAATTATTTGACAAGATTATTTTTAGTCCTTATGGTAAGTCCAATTAACCTGAATTGACTGCATAGATCTTATTACAATATAATAAAATATTTGGGTTATTAGGCGTCAGATTAGTGATATTTCAGCGATGAATAACAGCGACAGGCCACATCAGGCCTATATACTGTACAGCGCCGACATCACTATGTTATGTTATGTAATAATATCATCTCAGGAGCAGGCGTATTGCTTAACTACATTTAAGTTGCGAACTTATCCGTCCTGCGCATGATAGAAAAGCCGTTCAATAAAATATCTGTGTTATAAATGGTCGGATTAGTGATAGTTTAGCGGTAAATAATATAATTTCAGGAGCAGGCGCACTGCTTAACTACATTGAAGTTGCGAACTTCCCCGTCCTGCGCGTGATAGAAGAGCCGTTCAATAAAATATCTGTGCTATAAATGGTCGGATTAGTGATAGTTTAGCGGTGAATAATATAATTTCAGGAGCAGGCGCATTGCTTAACTACATTTAAGTTGCGAACTTCTCCGTCCTGCGCGTGATAGAAGAGCCGTTCAATAAAATATCTGTGTTATAAATGGTCAGATTAGTGATAGTTTAGCGGTAAATAATATAATTTCAGGAGCAGGCGCATTGCTTAACTACATTTAAGTTGCGAACTTCTCCGTCCTGCGCGTGATAGAAGAGCCGCTCGCGTCGCACTGCAGAGCAGCTGCCGGCGCTGTGCTGCAGCGACATCAGGCACACTCCGTCACTCGACCTGTAACGCAGACAGCACTGCTTTTAACATGTAACGCAGATAATGTTATGTATAACATGTAACGCAGATAACACTGCTTTTAACATGTAACGCAGATAATGTTATGTATAACATGTAACGCAGATAACACTGCTTTTAACATGTAACGCAGATAACACTGCTTTTAACATGTAACGCAGATAACACTGCTTTTAATAGCTTACGGCTTATACAGTCGCTCGCTTAGTACCGTTAAATCTTAACGAACTTATATGGCGCTGTTGCGGGAGAGGTGAAACATACTTTGCTACCCCAACGGGATAGTAGAATTATTAAAGCAATTTGGAAATAAAATTAGCAAATGTTGATAAAATTAGATTTATAAATGTTCATGTAGAGAAGCTTGAAAAATGCTCTCAACCGCGAGTTTCAAAACCCATACCCAGACAGCTTAATTAAACTACACTAGTTTTGACCACCATTTTAATCAGTTATCACTTACTGTTGTATACATGCAGATAATTATAAAGCACTTAGTTCTAAAATATTCTTCTTTTAGCATCATCAATTGGAATTTTATTATTTTTTAATAATAAATAAAGCTTACTTTATTTTCAACTACCATACAACAACTGGATTTGGTCCTCTCTTTCGTTAACAAAGCTACAGAATAAAATACCAGTACATTAAACCATACCATAAGAATCGTTTTACAGCGAATTTTATTTAACTTCTAACGTGATTCAACAATTGAATTATATTTTTTTTCAAGATAATAACGATGTTGTTAAAGTGACCGTCATTGAATTAATTTAGTGGAGTAAGTTCGATATACAAGTGGCGAAACGCGAATGAAATAATATACGGATTTTCATCCATTTAGTTTATCCTAGATTAGTGCTATCGTGCAAGAAGAAAACATAGTTATATACTCGTTTCATTCTCACATATATTGCCCCATATAGCCTCCTTTGTTTCAAATGCACAACATTTGGTCAATAGTCACCAAAACTAAAAATAATTGACATGTATTTACAAACATCCGATTTCCGTAGAACACATGCGAATGTTCGTATTTTTGTGGACGAGAAGATTTTTCGCTTATAAAGCATTTTGCGTCAACCGGGTCGTTTACCAATGAATTTTTCCGCTATTAATCAGTTTGAGTCTTCAAGTATGTCAAAAATCGTCTATCTCAAAGATTAGCTAAAGTTGTTTAACATTTTTGTTTGTATGCTGTCGTTGTCACGAATGTGTATGTTTTATACCCTGATTGAAATACAGTCGATATGGATTAATCGGATCATATTATTGTAAACGTACAAGGAATCATTTGACAAGATTATTTTTAGTCCTTATATATGGTAAGTCCAATTAACCTGAATTGACTGCATAAGTCTTATTGCAATATAATAAAATATCTGTGCTATAAATGGTCGGATTAGTGATAGTTTAGCGGTAAATAACATAATTTCAGGAGCAGGCGCACTTCTTAACTACATTCAAGTTGCGAACTTCCCCGTCCTGCGCGTGATAGAAAAGCCGCTCGCGTTGCACTGCAGAGCAGCTGCCGACGCTGTGCTGCAGCGACATCAGGCACACTCCGTCACTCGACCTGTAACGCAGATAACACTCTGTTTAACATGTAACACAGAAAATGCTATGTATAACATGTAACACAGATAACATTGCTTTTAACATGTAACACAGATAATGCTATGTATAACATGTAACACAGATAACACTCTGTATTATATGTATGACAGATAGGTAACACTCCATATTACATGTAACACAGATAACGCTACGTTTTCCATGTAATACAGATACCACTCTGTATTACATGTATGAAAGATAACACTCCGTATTACATGTAACACAGATAACGCTCCGTATAACAAGTGACAGAGATAACACTCCGTGTGACATGTAACATAGATAACACTCCATATAACATGTAACACAGATAACACTCCATATTACATGTAACTCAGATAACACTCTATATTACTTGTAACATAGATAACTCTCCGTATATTATGTAACATATACAACACTACGTATTACATGTAACAAATATAAATTTACGGATAACATCACTAACATGTAACACAGATAACACTCCGTATCACATGTAACACAGATAACACTCCATATTACTTGTAACATATATAACGCTACGTATAATATGTAACATATATAACATTACGTATTACATGTAACAAATATAACACTAAGGATAGCATCACTAACATGTAACACAGATAACACTCCGTCACCCGACCATTACTGATATCTATAGATACGTTAACAGTCGCTAAAATTATCCGTACACGAATGCACGATAACGAGAGTTACAGTCAGCTGGATGTTATTGTACCATCTGTAAGAACTGCGGGCTGAATCACATCTATACTCTACCCAACGATGCTAGTTAATCAGCCAACATGCATCCGACTTTGAATTAACGTTCATTATGCGTTATTTCAACGCTATGTCAAGCTGATTAAGCGCTATTTCAACGTTATTTAGCATTGATTTAGCGTTATTCCAACGACATTTTCCTGCAAAGACGTTCATGAATTAACGTTCATTAAGCGTTATTTCAAGGACATTTGAAGCTGATTAATCGCTATTTCAACGTTATTTAACATCGATTTAGCGTTATTTCAACGCCATTTAAAGCTGATTAAGCGCTATTTCAACGTTATTTAATATCGATTTTAAAGCTGATTAAGCGCTATTTCAACGTTATTTAACGTCGATTTAGCGTTATTTCAACGCCATTTAAAGCTGATTAAGCGCTATTTCAACGTTATTCAACGTCGATTTAGCGTTATTTCAACGGAATTTTCTTGCAAGACAAAATATCCTCACTTGAACACGCAGCGGCCCCCCGCGTCCAGGGCATCGCACTCGCCGCTACACCGACCGACGTCTACCACCTGGGCGGGTGAAAAAAAGTTATTCATTTGGAGGATCTTACATTATTTAATGTAACTTTCTTTATCAAAAATATTTAACTTTTGTTGCATAACTTGCCATTTCGAGAATATTACATTTCTGATTTATGCGTTGTTTTTCAGTATAAGCACTGATATGCCCTTTTGTTAGTGCAAAATGTGTCAGGAAGATCTACACAAGTGCAAAAAGTGCACCGATACTTGGAAAAAAGTGTCCTCATCTGATGTCACTGTAATGATAATAAACTCATTACGTTTTACAACCTTTTCCACAATTTTAAATGCTGTTTTTTTTCAATAAATCAGCACTAAACTTCACCTCGATTCTACCGTCAGCGCTGAAGTTTGCTTCAGGGTCGGTGGAGGTGAAGTTGTAAATGTGCTGCAGATGAGCGATCCTAAAGCAGGAGCCCACGCAGCTGCACTGCTCAATCACCGACACGCATTCCGAACCTGTTTACGATTTGTATTAATTGATTTTATAATTGTCATAAAATAACACTGTGAATACCCTGCCACTGCCGAAACACCGAAAATTATCGAAAGGTGTTAGAATTATTTACTTCTTTGCAAAATGTCGTGCTGCTAATTATTTGCTTTTTATAATTGCTGTATTGACAATACATCGTTTTTAAAATGTGTGATCTTTTTCGACCGCTTGTGATCGGTCTTTCACAAAATATGAATTTGAAATTTAACGCTGCAGCAACCAATAACTTAATATCTGACATATTTCCCAAATGAAGCTTTAATTCCTTGATTGAAATTGAATATTTGATAATCATCAACTCAACCCATCAGTTACACTTTCTTGTAATTGCTCTCTCAAAATCTCCTTTATCGAACTACGGTATTCTTTCTGGTTTCAACTTACCCCTAAATTAGGTTACTACTGGTATCAAGTTAGTTCATATTTATGCTATCCCTGGTATATTAATTAAGTTTTTAATACTGTTTCTCCTGGTATCAAGTTAATCTTAAATCAAGATACTCTTGATAAAAAAAAATATTTTTTAATTCCTAGAAGTATGCGTTGCATGTTCCTACCACCGCGATGTACCGACACAAAACCTGCTATGTTTGTCGGTGATGCCACTAACCTGGATATTTTTTGCCTCCTTTTGCTTATTTATCGAAAATTAAAAAAATTTATGGGTTTACCATTCGGTCCTTCGATTGCCGTCGTCCTCATGTGGGTTGCCCGACAGTCTTTTCCTGTACAGTAAAAATTTCAAATCATTATTTACTTTTATTTAATTAAAATAAATGTATTTACCTACTCAATCTTGCTCCGTTATTTTCAATTTGTGTTTAAATTACGATAAGTTGCATTTAAGGTACTGCCGGATTTGAAGTCACGAATTATATAATTAAAAAATAAAATAAATTCGTTCAAATCATCGTGTTGAACCTGTGCTCATTGAAGGCATGTCCAGTAATGGCGAAAGCACCAACACTAGGAGGCAATAACTCGAATAATGCACAACTAGTAATGATAGAACACAATGAAAAGTTATACAAATAACATACTTTGAAAAATGTATGAAAAACGTAGATGCCAATGCTAGTGCAATAGTGAATGAATTGCACGGTCAGACTGTTACATCAGATGTGAAGCGGATGTTAAATTAAGGTTGCATTCTAATCATTATATTATATAATATAAATAGTATCTTTCTGGTGTGTAATGATCTATCCGCATATCTTGTATCAGGTGCTATATAGATGCACACTCGAAATAGACGTGAGACGCCCGGCTCCTGAAATTATTCGCTAGATACTCTTTTTAATTAATTTCAAGTTGCCCTCAAAAATATATATTCGCTAGATGTCCCTTTTAATTAATTTTGAGACGCCCACTCAAAAAATGTATTCGCTAAATGCTCCTTTTAAATAATTGATAGATGCCCTCGCGAATTATTTGCAATACGCCCCCACGAATTATTCATTGCAATAGACTGAGACTAATAGAGTTCAGCTTCCGCTCTCGTGATCACGAGTCTGAGCTCGCTTAGCGAGACTTTATCTAATCGATATTTTGCTCCCCAGTAAAGCTAGGAATGACTTCATCACTAATAATGTTTAAACGAGGTATTATTTATGACCATATTACCTAAATATGTTGCCTGTATATTTTTTCTAGTATTTTATTTACCATCGAGGGAGCAAGGGCCAGCACACTCGCCAACGTCAACAGACGTCTGCAGCGGAAACCCCTCGTGAAAACGCACCCATTTCGATCGTCTGTAAGGTTAAAAAGAATTAAAGAATATTAAAGAATAAATTGCTCCCATTTTTTGTTGCCTGCAGCTTTAAATGTAATGAATAAAACGTATCCGCTCCGGTCTCCTGCAGGGTAGAAAGTACTATAAATAAATAGCACCCATTTTGGTTGCCCAAGATCACACTCGCTCATCGTAAAATTTTCTTAATCTCGCTAAAATGTTGATTGATTCGCTTTCTTCATTGATTGCGGCGTTTTTAAAAATTCCTCTCAAAATTATTCATTTTAGAACTTTGGCATAAATTTGAATAATCATACACGCTATTAACCTGAATTGACTGCATAGGTATTACCAGATAATAGAATATCTGTGTTATAAAAGGTCGGATTAGTGATAGTTACAGGTGCAGTCATAGTTACAGGTAAAAAGCCCTGACCACACAACGCCTAGGGAAATGATTTTTTTCTTGTCCCAATAGCAACAAACTTTTGTCCTTGTAAGCTAGGGTTCGGCCTGGATAAAGAACGTATCTGTCCGCTCTCAGCTCAAGCTGTTGGTTTAAAAGTCTGTCACTGTTCGGCCAATACAACCCATTCATTTTTGTGAGAGAAATTCTGACCTGAAGCAAGCCTGCTGACGAGGTTCGCAGGCGCACGTCTCGGTGACGGTAGCGTTGACGTTGCCTTCGTCAGTGTCGTGAGTCACCAAACTTGTGACGCTCGCGAAGCATTCTTCGTCCGGGCCGCAGGACGAGTCGCTGGCGAGAGACCGTCGCCGCTCCGCTTTGAATGCCTTCGGGGCGACCGACGAGAAATAAAACGTTGGAATATCTTTAATTAAACGTTGCTTCAAAGAAATCAAGACGTAATCCGCGTTGTTTTCAAAGAAATCAGGACGGAATCAACGTTGTTTTCAAAGAAATCAGGACGGAATGAACGTTGTTTTCAAAGAAATCAGGACGGAATGAACGTTGTTCTCAAAGAAATCAAAAGATAATCAACGTTGCTTTAAAATCATTTCGTTATTTACCAGGAAGCGAGTTAATATGTACAAGTGCTTCTACACGAGTATAGTGGCAGCCACTACAAATATCAAACGGCAACCACCACTATTTACCGTGTTATTAAGCTACCGTATAATTTTACTGGCCACAGAAGAACCTATAATAACACTCTACACGAGGCCAATAACATATGATATAGTAATTAGCAAACAAGTAATTAAACATAACATATGATATAGTTAAGTAATTAGTATAGTAATTAGTTAACATATGAATTTGTGTACTGATCGCCACTACGTTTCCCGTTCACAAGCTTTTATGTAACTAAATAAATTATGTTCAATTAATGCAGCAATATATTCCTATATTTCATTTCATTTAATCATGTGTTTAAATTAGAAGTTATGTTCCTTCTGGTCTAAGCTAGTATTAAAAAATAAAGGAATGTTTCCATCTTTCATTTTAACGTGGTTTTAAAAAAAAATTTATCGCATTAGTCTTGCCTTGCCTTGAAAAAGGAAGTTTATTGCCTTTATTTGCAATGAATATCATGCGTAACAGTGGTCCAGTTTTGTAGTTAAAATTAAGTTTTAACGTAGCCACTTGAATATAATACAGATATTTTTAATTGATAACTAACTGATAGTGAGGTTTTTATCCTCATATTATTCATAAGCCACGTTATGCAACGCAGAATGCGTTCTCATATCATAATTTCATATCACAAGAGCTTTTATCAATCTCAATTAGTCAAGTTCAAAACATAAAAATTGCTAAATTAGTTCAGCATTAAACGGGAAGTATTTCTCGGCAACAATACAATCACGTACAAAAAATAGCAAATTTTTTCATCCATAAAATTCCAGAGAATGTAAACTGACGCGGGGACACACTTATAAACTTGAATTGTCATCATATAAAAAATATATAATCTGTTAGATTTATGAAGGCACTTATAAATATCAACAATCATCACTCAACTCAGTCCCAAATTCTGGGCTAACGCATCACACGGCAATAATTAAGATCCATGAATCCAATAGCCGCAACATTAATATTACTTTGTTTTGTTCACATTATAATTCATAATAATATTATTCGTTTTATTTTAACATTATAGGAAGAATTTGGTTTAGTAATCATTAATGTTTAAAGATTTATCTGGGAGAAATATTGACGTGATCAGTTTGTTGGTTTCTTACAATTGTGGCCAATCAGCTGACATGTGGTCATTGCTGCTAGACTTAACTGAACATACAGTGACACTTAAAAGTACTGGATACATTACAGTTTTCTTTATATCTAAAGATTTTACCTAATACTTATTCAGTATATTGCTAATGGCACTAGAAACATTATATAGAACGGATTTTGAAAAGTAAGCAGTATTTAGATTTTATTCAACAAAATAGAAAAATTAACCCACGCAGAAGTATCAGGTACATGTTCGAATATGAACAAAAATAACTTTTTTTAAGGCACTCAAAATTTGCTTTTCACTTTAGACGTTCTAATAATCTCATATCGTTATCAACTTAGCCAATCAGACTCAAATCTGTCACCAACTCTAAAGTTTTAGCTATTTTAAATAAAATTTTGAAGATGAAGCTGAATAATATCTCACCAGAACACAAAATCTTGCAAACAATAACAAACTGCTCTGATTGGCCAATTAGATAACGATATGAGACTAGTGGAACGTCTAAAGTGAAAAACGAATTTTGAGTACCTTAAAAAAACAATTTTTGTTCATTTTCGAACATGTACCAATACTTTTGCGTGGCTAATTATTATATCTTATTGAATGCTTATTGTTCAATATATTTTCTAAATAATATTTCTAGTACCATTAGCATTATACTGACCGAATATTAGGTAAAAGCTACCAAGTTTTATTACCAAGAATTTAAAAGCTAAGAAGATGCCAAAAAAATCCACAATATCTTCAATGAGAGATCGTCTGGGAGACCAGCGCCATGATCAGTTCAATAATATATAAAACATGAGTAAAATCAGAACAAAATATCGAAAGATATACGAAAAATAATAAAACCTAATATTATTAGGGTTTAATATTAATTTAAATGTTCATTTTCAAATTAGTAACAGAAATCTAGAATTGGTGAAAATTCAGTTATTTTCTCTCATTTCATTCATATTTTTTTAGACATCAACGCTAGATAAACCTACGTTTGCTGTTGAACGCCTGCTGGTAATTTGGCCGACCATTGATTTTGAAATCAATTTTGCTAGGCTCTTATCCACAGTATACGGACTTTCGCATAGCGGCTTCTCAGCCTTCAAAAATATTAATCAAATAAAATTCTATTCAAGTTAAAAACTAACAAGCGTGTTGACTCCGGTTCATAGATACTGCAGATGTAAAATTTTTCGATGGCTAACTAAGGAAGTTTTGCGATGATGTCACGTCTGGAATTAACCAGCTCTGAATTACACACACTTCAGTATCACCGCGAAAAATTTGTCCTTGATCTCTCATTGTAACTTCTTATATTTAATTAATGAAGTGAAATAAAATGTAGATTTCTTTTACTTCGTATATTTTAATTTCCAGTTCATAATTCAACGTTCGTTCGTTCTCATACATCAAGCCACGTGTGCACTCGTGTGCCAGCGTCGCTTACACTCACATTTTCTAATTGAAATTCTAACGCAATCAACACAAGTGATCCTTGAGGCTATTAGGTTCCTTTAAGAATAATGTAGGTAATGTCCATAAAAAAATCTATATTCAGGACTCACTAGTCTAAATTTATGAAGAAGGAAATTGAAGAAAGGAAAGCCAAAAACTCCATAGAACCCCATCAAACTCAATTTTCTCGCTCGTATAAAAAATGTTAAGGGTAAACTATATAAACAAAGTTCATAGGTCAGGTCGACCGTGCCTCTGCCGTCCTCATGGACGAATAGATTATTTTGTTTATTTTCTAACAGCTGATCGACGGAATCACAAGAAGTTTTTCGTCAGTGGACTTGCAGAAAACCACTGGACGCTGAGCATCCCGGGGACGCCATGTTTTGGCATCGTTTGCGGCACCGATAATATCGGATGATGATAGGCAATGTCAAGGGATGAGCCTTAATGAAAACGCGACGTTACTTGATAAATGAGCTTTCCTGCAGTCAACCAAAAAACGGAGTAGGGGTAGGCAAATTATATTTAGTATATTTTAAATGGAGAAAATATTAGTATGATAACATAACCATGCTCGTAACAAGTAAAATATATGCCAATTTTCATGATAACCCAATCAGATACTGCAGTTAGTAATTACCGTACAATATTCACTATTAACAAAGTCCCCGATAAAAACGCTCCACATGCTCAGTAATTCTTTATGAACAACAGAGCAAATTTTCCGGTGGTAATAAAACATAAATATAAAAAATATATTACACTTTAAACTTGAGGAGGGGAAGGAAACGAAGCAGTTGAGCCTTGAATAAAGTATTGAATTTCGTATTATTACAGGGTTATTTACATGGAGATTTTATGGTCTCCCCAGCGAAGCGAGGTAGGGGCGCTGCTCCACCGTTACCTTGGAGGCGAAGAGGGGTTAAAATTAAGAACTTATTTATAATTAAAAAATAATCTAGCACTCAGTTAATAACTGACATGGGGTACGTGTTCACTGACACGTACCCCATGGAGGACATCAGTGATGCCTTCTACATGGTCAAGGGTAAGAACATCACAGTTGGTGCTGAAGATATTCAGATCGATGGTGCCAACCCTTCGGCTGAGGAAGCTCCTGAAGAAGGTAAAGTAGTCTTGCATTTTACTACCTTGGTTGCATTTTCTGTTATGTTGTTGTTATAGTACTTATATTTTTTGCTTGCTTGACTACATCTTATTTGTTAGACATTTCCACAATCCTTAGGGTATAAATTTGTTCTTTTTCTTCATACCTTTTGTTGGGTATGAATTTGTAAATAGTAGAAGTTGGCTGTAAGACTTGTTGGTGTAAACATCACATTAATGTTGCTCCGTTAGGAGTGTATAACGCAATTCCTTCTTAATTGCTATTTATTATTTTGAGTGATCACTCTTTGTTTTTCGTTTTACTTATTTACGTTAATAATACATGTTCGCGCTTTCTTTGATTAGGAAAGGGCGGACTCCAGTGCTAACTTTGGGCTTGGCCAATTCTTGTGGCTCGACCACCTTAACTTTGAGCTTCGGCTTTTACTCTAATAACTTTAATATTTGTTCCTAACCTATTGGGAAAGCTTGATGCTTTCTTAAGCTTAACTTACTTGTTAATTTTGGAGTCTGCCCTCTCTTTCTTCTACTTTCATTATTTCCCTTAACTTGGCCTCTTAAAATTTCAGCTAAATCCGCTTGCTGGCAAAAGATTTTGAGGTTGTTGCGGGCTGATGCTATTCTGACATAGTGCGACATACATTTAGGCTAGTACTTAGTTTATATTATTGTTACCATTTATTTTACAGCCATACCTTTTCTTTGTTCTGTAGCGACCATGTATATACGTTTCCTCAAGTTATCCCCGCAACTCATTTTCTAAGATTATTGCTAGCCGTATTTAGCGTAGTTACCCATCAAATCTAGCTCAGTATTATTATCCATGTTTTTGCCTTAAGCATCATTATTAATTATCGAACGCAATGGGAATGCTGTTAAATATGAATTAGCGATTTATTTATGATATTAAAACCGACCTAGGACATTGCAACATTAAGTAACTCTAGTAGTGATAATCATTTACACATCTCTAATAGAGTGCCTAACCTGGTCTCCAGCGCTAGTCCCTGTCAGTGAGGAGAAGTCCTACTGTGTGTCATGTCATAGTAGGAAATAGAATTGTAAGACGCTAGCTCAGTCTGGTCTCTGATTCACACGCCTTAGCGGCTGATCCACAGGGCGTTTGGTACAACTAAACGTTTGGCACGAGTTAGACCTTAAGGGACTCCATACCGCGCTGCTAGCATTCCCACGTCTTACAACTGGTGACCCCGAGCTCAAGAGAGTCTCCACCGTCTACAACCGGTGACCTCGAGCTCTCGAAAGTTCACCCCCACTACTCGCTCCACTCCGCACGGGGGCAACGATCACTTCATCGCGTGAACGGAAGCTGCCTCCCCCACGGAGTACGCCTGTCATGCAAAGTTCAATAGAATAACTGCGAGTCTGGTGGGATACGTATTTGCGATCTTTTTGGAACTGTCATCTGCACCTGGCTCAGAATTTAAAGATCCTTCTGGATGTTCTGGGTTGGTAAATTTATTGCTTCCATTTGCGAATTTATTAAATCTTGTTGAAACATTGAACTAATAATACTGTTTTACCTAATTATATATTTGAAGGTTATTTCTCGATTCCAGAGTTATGTTGGGCCGGGCTTGTTCGTCTGTGTAACGTCGGCGAGCCTGTATGAACCAGCTAGCAAGCGTTATTTTTTGGGACTTGGTTCCTTCTTAATTTCTGCGAATGCGTCTTGATTCCTCAAGCTTGGGACCAGTCGTCTATGGGATCAAGTTTCTCAATAAAAGTTCAATCTATTTACCGTTTGTTTGTATTAAGCCTAACATATTTTGATATTGTGTTTCTGTAGATGTAAGTTGGAATTCTACTAAAAAAAGTTGTATTGCCAGAGATGTTCCACTCAAGTTGTTTGGCATTTTTAATTCAAATCATTATTTCTCACCATAGTTTAGTCATTAAAATACCAACATATGATGATAAACTATTTTTCTAAGGTTTGTGACCTATCCAGCAAATAAGACTTTGAAAATAGATCATTTTTGTCAATGTGCCACACACTTGATTCACATATCTAACTCAATCATTCTACCTGGCTCACATATTTCTCATCTCTAATATTGCAAACCTCTTCAGTAACATGTGTATTTTAGTTTATTTTAAGTAATATTTTCATAGCGCACTTTGAATTTCCAACCCTTCCCATTTTTGCAAAAGGCAGGGACTAAGTAAAATGTTTCCATACAATTCAATGATAGAATTTTAACTGTCCCAGTAAATAAAAATGAACTGATAATTATTCTGACTTTTGCAACGCGCAGGTGGAGACGCCACGTCCACGTCTGGCGTTGACGTTGTGCTGTTCATGAGACTACAGGAGACTGGCTTTGCTTCAGAGAAGGACTTCCTGCTCTACCTGAAGGGATACCTCAAATCGTCAGTTATTATACAGGCTTATTCTAAATGATGGACCCAATTTGATAAATTCATATTTGAGTATAGTTTCAAAATATATAATTTTATGTCGATGGAAGAGTAAGATTTAAAGTTTTTAAAATATTTATAAACGTTCCTCCTTGTGCTGTTCGGCAAACATCTAAACGGTAGCCTTCTGAATCAGTCACTTCCGAGCGTTGGGTAGGGCGCATAGTAAATGAAGATTTGGCTCAATACTTCTGTGGCCGCCAAGATCCCCTGATCTCACCCCATGTGACTGTTTCTTATGGGGTTACGTCAAGGAACCTGTTTGTATCCGGCCTCTACCAGCAACTCTGTTTACGTCCTGCCTCTACCAGCAACTCTGTTTACATCCCGCCTCTACCAGCAACTCTGTTTACATCCCGCCTCTGTCCCGCCTCTACCAGCAACTCTGTTTACGTCCCGCCTCTACCAGCAACTCTGTTTACGTTCCGCCTCTACCAGCAACTCTGGTTGATCTGAAGAACCGTATCACTGCTACGGTGCACTCAGTAACAGAAGATATGCTTTCTCGTGTGGGGGACGAGTTTGGCTACCGTTTAGATGTTTGCCGTGCAGCACAAGGGAGACATATTGAACATTTTTAAAAATGTTAAAAAATCTTAATCTTTCTCTTTTCACTGGTATAAATGATTAATTTTTAATTTATACATGAATAAATAAGATTTTATTGATTTGGGCCCATCAATAACCCTGCACAATATAATGAGTGTACATTATAGTACAAGATTTCTTCATAGGCCTGATATAATTAAATATTTCTTGATAAATCAACTATAATTCAATATTTCTTGGTGGATCTGATATGGTTCTACATCATCAGATGTGAAATAGATCTCTCAACTTGATATCGTCAATATAAACGCACAACCTAGTGCAAAACCGCTCGTCAGGTGTGTGAATTCTTCTTGTGTGTTGATCATTAAATGTAATGTGTTATTCGTAGCATATCTATTTATGGCTTTGTGCACTTCACTTTTGTTGGATGCTTAGTAATGCTCGTGTATTTAGCCATCATCCGAGTGTTGAAATGAATTTTTGTATTGCAGTCTGAAGGAAAAGCTACAGGAGAGCAACCCCGATGCTGTGGAGAAGCTCCCCGGCATCCAGAAGCCTCTTCAGGACATCCTTAAGAACTATAAGGTAACAAGGCAGATTATATACATCCTTAAGAACTATAAGGTAACAAGGCAGATATATCAGTTCAGAAAACAGTTGAACTGCACAATCTCGTGGAAGCCTTGTTTTATTTTCTGTGCACCTTCCAAGGTTGAGGTTATAATGGTATCGAAACTTTATGTGTGGATAGCCAACTTGAGGCTTGTTTTGGAAATGAATTGTGAACGATCAATGAATAGTGACTTGGAAAAATATATTACCCTCTGAAGATTCAGCACGAGATCTTCTTATGACTTGATATTTGGCTTTCAACTCTTCAGCCCGTAGAACTTTTACTGCTTGGCAATTTCCGATTCAAATCTAAATAAATAAAATATAAATTTCCGCCGTATACTTTCTAGTGTATTAACAGGGGCTAAAATATTAATTTTTGTGGTGCAGGACCTTCAGTTTTTCACCGGCGAGAGCATGAACCCCGACGGCATGGTGGTGATCATGGACTACAAGGACTTCGATGGCGAGGAGAGACCTGTGCTCTACTTCCCCAAATATGGACTTCAGGAGGAGAAGTTATAAGCCAGCTCCACCTTATGCTCTACCATTATAACTGCTGGTATGTATTTGCGTTATCTTTAAACAAAAGCAATAAGCTCCACCTTATGCTCTACCATTATAACTGCTGGTATGTATTTTCGTTATCTTTTAACAAAAGCAATAAACTCCACCTTATGCGCTACCAATATAAATGCTGGTATGTATTTTCGTTGTCTAATAAAAAAAGAAATAAGCTCCACCTTATGCTCTACTATTATAATTGCTGGTAAGTATCCGTCCTTTTTATGCGCTATATTCTTATATCCATTCAGATTTGATTACATCGGTCACGGTTCGACAGTCTTCAGTGATATGTCGTTAATGTAAATTTCATTATGTTATTCTTATTTTCATAGATTTTTTTTTTTTGCATTGGCTCTGTAGTTGTTACTGTCCGCACGGCTATTTTCAATTCCCGTCCAATGGACGAGTGCTAATTTCTTCTACCATTTTTTTCCTCCTGCTTTTCTTTCTCTTCAAAAAAATGACTTCTTGTGCTTTGGTATAAATGAATTTGGTATGAATTGTTGTTTGTATGTTTGGTTTGTTGTTTTTTTAGGTTGGAATATGAAGTTAGTCAAATACAGGTAATTGACTGCATCAAACGGGTCTGTTTTATGTTGAAGTCAAAACACAGAATCTTTTTATTCATGCCTTGCTCATCATAGCCATGAATTATTGATGACAACATCTAATGCTTGTAGGTGATGAATGATTGTAGGTTAATGGCTGTTCCAGCTTGAATTTAAAACTTAATTTTCTTTACTGTGAAAACATTCACCGCTTCATAATTTTGTGAATAATTATAGTTTTTTTATTTCTTTCAGTCTTCTACATCGATGGAACCCATATACTGACCTGAGAAGACCAGCGAATTCCTGCTTTTATCTAATTTATTAAATTGGTGAATAAAAGCAAGCTAACGTTGTTCTCTCTATCCCGTATGACATCCATACCAAAGTATCTCAAAGTGTCATGTCAAGAGCATCTATATTCGGCTTTAGCGAAAAATATCCGTGGATTTATGAATATTCCGGTTTATCTTTACATAGTGTGTGAGAGCGTTTAAACCGCCGTGAAATTTACCTCAAATTCGTTCAGCAAAAAGTAATAGATTCAGAGAGTCTGTTCTAAGTGCCCAATTGTCCTGAAATTTTCCGTTGATCGGATGTTTTTGAAACTTGAATATTGATATTAGCACGCGGTCGTTCGAAGGCAAGTCAACCTGCGATTACTCGTAGAATATTGATGTCGGCCAAGGCTCTACTGGCCAAAAATCTCAATGTTGGAATAAAGAAGATATTAAGCGCTTTAACTCCTCAATTACGTTCTGTGAGGGATCGATTGATAGATCATTTGACTGCTAATAATCTACTATCAGACTGTCAACATGGCTTTATTGCCGGGTTATCCTGCACCACTAATCTCTTATCGACTCTGAATGAATGGACCCGCCTGCTGGACGAAAGGGAGCCAGTAGATGCAGTGTACCTCGATTTTGCTAAGGCATTTGACAGTGTCACACATGAGCGGCTGTTGCGGAAATTGCAGTCTTTGGGAGTTGACAGCAATATACTCAAATGGATCAGAGATTTTCTAGTAGGGAGGCGACAACGTGTCAGTATTAATGGGTCCGTATCAGACTGGGCTTCAGTGCGCAGCGGCGTGCCACAAGGAAGCGTTCTCGGGCCTATTCTATTCGTTGCGTTTATAAACGATCTGCCAGAAGCTGTGTCTAGCGTTTGCTCGATGTATGCTGACGACACAAAAATTTATAATACAGTGAAGAATACGTCGCAAAAAGTACAGTTACAAGGTGATCTTGACAGGCTGGTTGACTGGGCTGATAAGTGGCAGCTGCGTTTTAACGCTGACAAAGGTAAAGTTACTAAAGTAATCCATCTTGGCAAGAATAATGAACAGCAAGTTCACAGTATGAGAAGACACGGTTGCAACGACAGAATGATAATGTCGAAGTTGACAGTGGAAAAAGATTTAGGAGTTAATATCGACAATGAGTTGAAATTTTTTACGCATATTGAAGTGAAGCCAATAAACGACTTAGACTGATCAGACGCTCTTTCAAGTTCATAGATGCAGAAGCGAATAGCGATGAAGCAGTTGTTTGTTGCTGACGTGCGCCCGAACCTAGAGTTTGGAAACGTCGTGTGGTCACCGAAATTTGAAAAGGACAAAATTTTAATAGTGAGTGTTCAAAGACGTGCAACAAGGATAATTCCGGGCTTGAAAGGCAAGTCCTATGAGGAAAGATTAAAGATTATGAAGCTTCCAAGCCTAAGTTATCAACGTCTGCGTGGGGAACTCATTGAAGCATACAAGTAAACTCATGGCTTATACAAGTATACTTATGGAGTATAATTTGAAACGAGTACCAACACCAGGGGCCACGGCTATAAACTAAAAAACTGCGTTGTAACGCATCCATGCGACAACACTTCTTCTCGCTTCCAGTCACCGACATGTGGAACAGCCTCCCTGATAGTATCGTTGACGCTCCGAGTATGAACGCCTTCAAGAACAGACAGACGAAGCTATGCAGGAGCATACAGTATTAGTAACACTCATAGCAGCGAAACTTAGACACCGCTATGAACACTAGAGTACATCTTTAGCAATGTAGCCACGAGGGCGCCAGCCCACAAATTAATCAACTATCTGTAATTCTAACATCTAGAGATTAATACGAACATTTTTGTAATATGTAAGTTATTACTGAATAAACACTGAAAGATGTGAGCTCTATTTATGACATTTACCCCACTCGGGTTCTAGGCGTCAGTCAACAGACTTGTATATCATGACAACACAGACAACGTAAATAATTCTAAACATTTGTCCATGCAAGGCTGAGAGTTGAGAGTTGTAGTGAACTCCCATCACTCTTCAGCGCATCATAATTATGTAGCGTTCACTGAATAAACTTCTGTTAAACATCATGGCTATAATAACCGAATGTCAGTGATAGTTATTGACATATAAGTTGTTTGGGCATCAATGCTGCCCTATATCATGACAATGTTTGGGCATCGCTGCTGCCCTATATCAGCAACAGCAGCTTGATGAGTAAGGAAATGGAATACAAATCCGTAAAACATAATGGCGAGCTCCAGAATAAAATCAATTCACATTAAATAGAAGTACCAGGCTTGTGGAACTCACATGCGTGTAGGCAACGATGACCAACATGACAGACGTATTCATGGTTTTTGTTCATATGCTAGTTAGCCCTAAAATAAAATAAATACGCTAGGTAATCAGTAGACATGGACGAGAATTTTGAAGTTATTTTTATATGTGTGGAGAATAAAATTGTCGTTTAACGTAATATGTGGAACCTGTGACGAAAAGAAATCAGCGATTGCTTAACTTCTATACAGATCCAAGCAAGAAGGGCAGGTACATACTGCTGCACTGATTACGAGCGGAGTACGGTAATATTCTGAGATCTAATATTCTAAGAATTAGGAACCTATTTTTTTTGGGGGGGGGGGCAACTTATTTACTTCTATGAGTCAAATATTTGTCTTAGACATTGGAAGGACATAAGGCAGTTCCGCCCACAGAGTCATTCATGGAATCTTCTCCAATAATCTTACCAGCAAGAGTTGCCTATATAGGCTATATTCAATTCGTGCAATTCCATACACCTTTCAAATGTCAGCGTCCTAGAGTATTTCTTAGTATTGGCAAAATGGACAACTTCAAATATATAAGTTTAACTTTGATACGTACGAACAGACAAATTCAGGAATCGTAGAAATAATTACTTTCAAACCAGTTTCCCAATGTTAAAAACGACTACGTCCTCACATAATCACGATATACAGAACGCACTAAGGATCTCCACATTTATCGAGATTATATTTATGGCCCCTATTATTATCTTATTCAATGCGAAAAGTTACCCTCCGACTTGTGTCCATGTCTACTGATTACATGACTTAACCATTCTACTTCATTGATGACATACTTATAAAACATTTATCCTTGAATGCTTGGATGATTGCTGCCTACACGCATGTGACTTTGAAATGCCTGGTAGATCTATTTAATGTGGATTGATTTTTTTCCAATTCAAGATTACATTTCCCGGATCTGTGATCCATTACATTACTGAAAACTCATTTGCCAATATCAATCAAGACGATGCGGTTATTGTGACTATGCCGGTTTTCCAAAGTTTGTGCTGCGAACAATATATAATATTGATGCGCAAAAGAGAGATGAGTGTTCACTAAATCTCTCAACTCACTGTCCTTCAAGATAAAATGGTTTGAATTATTCAACTTGTCTTTGTTGCCGTATTATACAAGTATGTTGACTGAAGCCGAGAACCTAAGTGACGTTCGTAGCAAATATCATTGTTAGAGCTATTTCTATCATTTTTTGTTCAGGAATCGCTGACATATTGCAAATATAGCAGTCAAATATGTTGCTGCAAAGTAGCTAGCAATGGGAAATATTTTCGAAAAATAGCACATGTGGTGAAGATGCTGATGGTGCGATCCTGTCACTGCTGGGAGCGTTGTCCGCATTGACAATCTTGCTAGCGACGTTCCTTTCTCTTATGCGCCGTGGAGCTTTTATGAATGTTTCTCTCCAGTAACTGGAAGATAACTGTTATGTTCGTTTATTCATAGAAATATTAGTTTGCTGACATCGCTATATAGTTACCCAGGAGTTTTGAAAAAACTAAATTCATCATGTCGGCACTAAGAATGTTTTGAATACCATTTACATCATTGGTTCACGAATAAAAATTCGATTCATAATAGAAAGAAACACCTATTTCAAATAAATGATCATGACATTTATACACTTGCATTTTTTTCAGATTTTGAATAGATGATGTAGCTGGTATCCGAAACATTACAAATGAAAATATGGCGAATTATATCTTCATAAAAAAGACAACCTGGCGTATTTTATCGTTGAAAAGCAAGCTTAGTACAGTTAACCACTCAAGTTTATTCAGGTTAAATTATTGTACAGCAAGTTGCTCATCCATCAGTGCGGGACTCGCGCGGTCACTCGCATTATGCGGCGCTGTTGAGCGAGCAACTCAATGGCCGTCACTGCGGCGTCATTGGCCGGCATCGTTTCTTTATTTTTTTCCATCGATGTCACCATTAACTAACTGAATTAAATATTATAACTCGTGAGATGAAAACCTCCTGTCTCTTATACACATCTTATTGAAGGTGAAGCCAATAAACGACTTGGACTGATCAGACGCTCTTTCAAGTTCCTAGATGCAGAAGCGATGAAGCAGTTGTTTGTTGCTGTCGTGCGCCCGAACCTAGAGTTTGGAAACGTCGTGTGGTCACCGAAATTTGAAAAGGACAAAATTTTAATAGAGAGTGTTCAAAGACGTGCAACAAGGATAATTCCGGGCTTGAAAGGCAAGTCCTATGAGGAAAGATTAAAGATTATGAAGCTTCCAAGCCT